ATTTTAAAGAAAATATAACAAAAAATGAAAGAAAGAAAGAGAGTGAGAGAATAAATGGAGAATTGTGATCGAGAGCGGGGAGAGATATAATAACAAGAATTCATTAAAATTTGTTCGACGAGAGTGGCGTATAAAAAGTGAATTGTTTTACGAACGCTGATCGTGACGCACGGCAATTCTCTTCTCTCTCTCTCTTTCTCTTTCCCTTTCCTTTTCCCTCTATCCTTTCACAAGCAATCTCGCTCAAATAATGGAGATACGTGCGAACAAAAAGCTTATCGATCGAATGCAAACGACATACTTACATACTTATGTATCAATCCTGCGTAATATGCGAGCCTCGTTGAAACACGGTTCGCAAGGATGATTCTCATTTCCATCATCCGCTGATGTAAAATCTATTGCATAGAGGGAACAAGATAAAAAAGAATCTATACATACATACATATGTATATATATATATATATACGTGGTGTGATGCATTAGAGATATCGTTATTCGCGACAGAAGTACCGATCGGATAGATTCATCCTTTTTCGGTAGTGCTGCTGCGTTCACAGGGCGTAGAAGACTTCATATATTTTGTCTGTACGTATCGAAGGAGGTACTACGTGGAACGATATCCAGCTGGAAAGTCGAAAAGAAAAATGGCCCGTCTTTTACTTTCTTCTCACTCTTTTCTCTTACCGTATACTTATTCCTTTTTCACTAAGAAAAATTCAAGCTCGACGATATATCAGATTGCGTCGCGTCTGAAATCGATGCTACAACTTTCGTCCAATAACGCAATACGTAAACGTTCTCTCTTCCTCTCTCTCTCTCTCTCTCTCTCTATCTCATTTTTCCTTTTTATATTTCTATTTCTCTCTCTTTCTATTTCTCGTATACGCCTGGCTAACGCAGCAACTCGCGATATATATGTGTATATACATATATATATATATATATTTCTACGATATTTCGCAACCAGTCTACCAACCCCCCTCCTAACTCCTTCCTACGAACCAACTCAACCATTGAACCACCAACCACGAGTGGAATCCAACGGATTATACTTCTACGAATCGACGATGCGTTTCACGAGGCGACATCACGTCCCACCAAACGTTAAATTAAGTTTTAACCTTTTCACCCTTTTCTTTCCTTCGCGTTTGCTCCGTCAAACATTATCTCTTTTCAATCTTTTTAACATTAGATTTAAAAATATATTATTATACATTTTACGTTACCAGAGAGACACTTTATTCGTTTTTAAAAAATAACGTAATTATTCGACTATTACAAAGTGTAATTTTATTTCTACGTTTTAATAATTTGACCCCGAAATGGAATTGAAAAGACAAAGAAATATTTAATGCTCGCGTTCTTATTTTCTCTCCTTTTTTTTCTTTTTTTCATATACTACAATATAAGTAACGTTAAATGAAATTGACATTCCTAGTACATCGTCACGTTTCATATCTCGTTGAATCGTAAAAATCAGTGTCGTTGTGATTGGTCGAATGGAGAACCTTCTAAACTTTTTGATCTTGTTTCTTTGCTTTTTAGAAAAAGCCAAGAATGAATTACGAAGCACTATGTTATAGTAGAACGACCTCTTCTACATGTCGTTAATACAACGATATTGTCCCAGGAGATTATCTTCGAACATATGGACTCGCCAGAGGGTATAACCGGTCCTATGGGATCAACCTCGTATGAAGGAATACTTATAATGCAGCCAGGTCGAGCTATCTTTTTTATTCTCTTTTCTTTCACTTCTTCCTTTTTTCCCCGATTCTTTCTTTTTTCCCCTTTTTGTCTTTTTTTTTCTTTTATTCATTTTTCCACCCCCAGTATTTTCTATCTCTACCTTTTCCTCCTGGCGTGTTACGTCATAGAAGAAGAGAGAAGGGTAAATGATATAGGTTTAAAATACGTGAGCGCAATCTTTTACACGCTTGCCCAGAACCAGACGGAAAAACCGATCCTCATCACCACCCCACCACCACCACCACCACCTCCACCACCATACACCTACCAGTTCCTACTCTCACCCTTCTCTGTTTTCTGTTTCCAATCGAAAAGTCTGATTCGATTCACAATCAGATAGAATTTTAAGAAGTAAATGCAATTTTAATGGAGTAAATTCTATTATCCGGCATTTCTCTTTCTCTCTCTTTCTTTCTCTTTCTTTTATTGTCGATGAATTGACATATAACGTTTTAACGTTTAATCATTAACGCGAAAAAACCGTAAAAGTAACGAGTTTTCGTATTTATTTTTATTTTCATTTTCATTCTATAAGCCCATTTTTTTTTCCTTTCTCTTTTTTCTGGTAAAGAAAAGAAAAATAAATAAGGTGAAAATAAGAAGAAGAAAAAAATGAAGAAGAAGAAGAACGAGAGCGTTAATTACACTTTGAAATAATGTAGCATGGCGAGTGAGAGAACCGAGGCAGAAAATTTGGTAGAAATGAGCGGACCTTTTAAAAAGAGAATAAGTTATTCTAGTTTTTGCCAAATTGTAGGACACACCCTTATCTCTCTCTCTCTCTCTCTCTCTTTCGTTTTTTCTCTCTAATTCTATTTTTCGTTAAGATGAGCGAAGAAAAACGCCATTTATTTTGGTTTTGAAAAAACTCGAGTTACTTTCGCATAACTCGTGCGTGGATAATTTAATTAATTAAATTAAGTGGTACAAGTTTTTTTAACGAGAGAGAGAGAGAGAGAGAGAGAGAGAGAGAACCACCACCATCATTACCACATCTTGTCGGGAACCAACGATACGCCGTGTTGAAGTTCGTTAACTCTTTATTAGCTTCTTGACCTTGTCTCTGAAGTATACGCGAGTAGAATCTTCTGAATAAGGAAGAAAAAGAAAAAGAAGAAGAATTACTAAAACGAGCGAGAGAGTAAGAGATAACGAAAGAAGGAGTGAAGGAACCTTTTCTTTAAGAGAACCTTATGGTAAAATGATACTACACTTTTACGAGTTCTCGTAACGTACGCTACTGTGCTCCTTTTCCTAGATGTTTACACCTATTTCGCAAAATATATTTACGTTTCTTCCACATTATAAAAGGGAAACGAATGAGAAAGAGTGAGAGTATGTCTGTTAGAGAGAGAGAGAGAGAGAGAGAGAGAGAGAGAGAAAGAGAAAGAAGAAAAACGATGATGGCTCGACGAGCGAATAAAACTATGCAGAAGATTTGCGCGAGGCGAATAAATGAAATTCCATAAAAGTAACTGTTTGAAAACAATTTTATTCCTTTTAACGTAGACGTTGAAGTCGTAGAGAATAAAAGTAATAGGAAAATAGAAGGAGCGAAAGAAAAGAAAGAAAGAAAGAAAGAAAGAAAGAAAAAGGATAGAAAGATGAACGAACATCGAGTTAAGATTTTCACCTATCCTGAGAATCTCTCGAAGATAAGAATCGAAAAAGAAGAAAAAGGAAACGAAAAAGGGGAGAGATCTGAGTACTAAAAGGGAATAAAAAAAAAAAGAAAAAAAAAATAAGAAGAAAAAGGAGAGAAAAGATAAATGTGTCGTCATAGCGATGAGTGTGTACGTCAAGTAAAGGAAAGCGTGGCAACGGAATAAAAACATGTGCCGTACTTTTACGAGTTTTCGTAATGTGCAAGGCATATGGCACTACTGTGGCGGCTGGCACACGCGTCCTCGTCGTCTAGCAAGCACCACCTTTACAGCTCCCTCGTATATACCCAACCCCACTCCCCTCTTTTTCCTTCCCCCGGCCCCCCATCCCTATTCCCTTTTTCCTACCTACCCTTAACCATACACCACACCACACCACCACTACCTCTTTCTACTGCCCATGATTTCGCCCTTTTCCTCGACTTCCTCATTTCGTTATTCCTGCCACGCGCGCTAAAATCACCAGGTGGTAAAAACGTGCATGAGTAGGAGGAAGGACGAAGAGTTAGCTTCTCGTCGTCCTCGTCCTCGTCCTCGTCCTCGTCCCCTGTCCTTTCCTCGTCCCTTGTCTCTATACGATACTCACCACCCTTTCTTCTTTCCTTTTTTTTTCTTCTTCTTTTTGACTCGTTCTTTGTCTCCCTTCTTCTCTTTTTTTTTGTCTTCTTTCCCTGGGTAAAGGAACAATTTACTCGTTTGCAAAAAAATAGCTAACTCTCGAGGAAGATAATTCTTCCCCGTCTTTTTTTTTGTCCTATATTTGTCGCTTTTTTTTTTTTCTTTTTTTCTTTTTTTTCTCTTCAGTTTTATTTCCTTTATATTCTCAGTTTCTTTTCTCGTCCATACGTACGTGACGGCAACGCGAAATCTCCTTTTAACTACGATTCCTCATCTTTTTTTTTTTTTTTTTTTTTTCTCGCGAATTAATGGACGGACGTTCGAACGTCCTACCAACGATTTGCGATTTTTTATTGTATCGAAAGAAAAATGAGAAAGAAAGTACGATCCTTTATTTCGTTCGCGCGTTTTTTTTCCTTTCTTTTATTTGTTTTAATTATTTTTCTCTCGATCTAATTTCTCTTATATTATACTTCATATATATATATATGTTTTAAAGTTATATACGTATGCAGTATTTATTCGTACAATTTTATTTAGAATTACATTAAACTTTTTTACGAAGAGGAAATTTAAACCCCACCCCCCCCACTCCACACCTTAGTGAAATAACGAACGAATTTATAAAAATTGTAGATTTCGTTGGTTGACGTACGGCTAACACGAGAAATCGTAGGATTCTTCAACAATTTTTATTCATGAAAAATCGAATCCAACTCTAAACGTTTGAACTCGATTAAAATCATGATTTATACATTCGATTAAGATTATCTTTTATTCAAAGTTATTATTAACGATCAGAAAATGTCATTTTCTACTTCTTCTGCTTCTTCTTCTTCTTCTTGTTCTTTTTCTTTTTTGTCTATTATTAGAATGGCTTGATCGAGACAGTCAATTATTAAAAGGAAACACGTACCAACGACGTTCTCAAAATATGGCAGAATAATCTTCTCCCTTATGCAACGTTTATGCAACTCGAGTTGAATCCCATTCACCCTTCTCAATTTCAACAACTCGAACAATTTTGTAGATTTGGGTTCCGTTTTCGTCATACTTACTTTTCTTCGACATCTTTGCAAACTATCGTGATAAGTCGTTACGTCAATATTCGTTCGTATACCAAGGGCGAACTCCCTGATATTATCTTTCCAAGTTCTGTAATCGTCTTCTACGAGTTTGGGTTGAACATCGTCGTAGACGTAAAAAGATCTTTGACATTCGTCGATGTTGTCTACCAACTACGAGTTAACATGGAAAATTGTTTTTTTAAATTACAATTCAAATGCATTACTTTCGACAAACAATAAACACATTCAAAACTATCCATAATATGACAATTTTCTAACTTGATCGTATTAACTTTATCGATTTTATCGTACCGATAACGAAGAAAAATCTTTTTCGGAACACGTTTCGTCTTTAATAAAATTACAGAGAAGGAATAGAAAAAAAGAAAAAAAAAAAAAGAAAACAAACCAACGATAAAGTTAGAGAGAAAAATGTAAGAGTAACACTAACGTATCGCCAATAGGATGCCATAGCTTTCTGTAAATCGATTATGGCGTTTCTATCAGGTTCTTTGAAACCATGCAGTATACGAAGCCGCAGAGTTCTAGGTGGGCGTCTCTTGGTAGTTTTGGCTAACGGCATGTCGTATGTATCGTTACAAATTCCATGTCCGTTTCTGCCAAATGGAAAGAGCCAATCGTACGGAATCGAATACGTACTACGTACCAAATCCCTTCTGTCGGCGTTCGTCGGTTTGACTTTTGGAATCTGTTCGATAGCGTTTGGAAAGAAGAGTTGTTAGAAACATTTATTTCCAAGATAGTTTGATTTTCTTGTTCGTCTTTCTAAATATAATCCTCGACAATATTTTTTTTTTTGACGAAATATATATCAATATATATTTTCGTTTATCATTTAAAAAATATAATAAAAATTCTTAATAAAAAGGTATCAAAGGGAATTTGGACATCAAAAAAAGAAGTAGAACTTAATTTTACTAAGTTGGACGTTTCGTCCCTTTATTGGGACTTCTTCAGCAACTTAATATTTACAGTTCAGCATCTTTTTTTGTTTCAAACAGTTTTGTTGAGTGTTTAAATTATAACGGATTAATACATAATTTGTACATGTTTTGTGTTTCGAATATTAAAATAAAAATAAAAATGTATGTCTAATTAAAGAGAAAAGACGCTGAACTGTAAATATTAAGTTGCTGAAGAAGTCCCAATAAAGGGACGAAACGTCCAACTTAGTAAAATTAAAGTTCTACTTCTTTTTTTGATGTCCAAATTCCCTTTGATACCTTCTTATTAAGAATTTTATTTTTGGACGAGAGAAACAACTGATTAAATAATAATAAAATTATATAAGGGTTAAGAGAAAAAAAAAAAATGAACTGTGTTTACGGGAGATAATTGTTCCCGTTGAAGAGCTAACGGAGTGCAAGGGTTTAATCACTTCGTAGCTAAATAGATAAGTGACTTGTAAGTAGATATAGGGGGACAAGGAGTTGAAAGGAGAAGAAGGGGGATGGCGGGGGGTAAGGTGAAGATGAACATGCTATTATGTAGAATCGACGATCCAACCTGATGCGATTGTAACAATGCCTTTGATCGTAGTTCAGTTTCCAGAGGCACAAATGTAATCAGATGATGGAGGTTCGATCGATGAATGGAAACCGGAGGTAAGATGGCGCTGCTGGCATCCTTATTAAGGTGAACGATCATCTCTTCTCGATGTCTAATTGATCGATGAAGGTACTCGTAAGCATTGAGATCCCGATTAATCGACAAAATTCTGTATCGTCTAACAACGTCACGTTTCGAGAATGTTATTTTATGTTCTTGGCAATATTTTCCGTGATCGTTCATACGTTCAACGTTGCAATGTTTCCTTGGTCCGAGTTTTTCTTCCTCTTTTCTGTTCCTTTCTTCATCTTCATCTTCTTGATATTCTTGGTAATCTCTTTTGGACGTTGCCACCAGTACTAGCACGTCGTCATCCGGTGCATTCTCGTTGAAATCGAATTTCCTTGGCGGTCGTTCTTCGCGACTTTTACCACGGTAACTCGTCGTCCCGTCACTTTTAACCTCGAAAACGTTTCCGAAAAGATCGTTGCTCGTAAAGATCGTCGAAGGGATTGGCTCGGATCGTCTGCCATTGAAGTTATAGACGGAGGTAGACCTTCCGGCACAGGTGGCACACATCTCGCTACTGAAGATCAATTTATCCGATTTTATCTGAAGAAACGAAGATAGTAAAGAGAGATAAAACGATCGAAGACGGATGGAAAAGAAAAAAAAAGAGAGAAAACAAAAAAACATGAATAAGAGAAAAATAATAGGAGAATGAGAGATTATCGGGTACCTTCAAAATCATCATTGTCGTCGATAAATATAAACAAGAAAAATACATTTTTACATTTTATTCTTGTGAAAAATAAGAAAAATAAATAAAGAATATTTACTTGACTTTATTTAAGTATTATATTAAACGTCTCTTATCTAGACATGTATGCGTTTAAAGTACTCTATTTGTAACCGGGATTATCCTCCCATCGTCTCGTTTTATTTCAATCCGAGTGAATCCTCTTTCACGGAGAAATATCGATGCGCGAGCAGTCGTACTTTCAAGAGCCGACGGATTATTAATACCGGTTGGGTACTTTACTCTTTCACGTTTTCTCTAAACGTATATATATATATATACATGTGTGAGAACGTACAGAAACATCCACGCGAGAACGTGATTGTATTAACGTTCGTTATTAAATTTTCGGTAAATATCGAGACATATATCTCTATCTCTATCTCTCTCTCTTTCGGTTTAAATCTCTCTGGATAAAAATAGGAAAATGAAAAAATGAGAAAATAAGAAAACAAGATAGGATATTGAAATATTGTAAAAGAACGATCTCCATATTAAGACGCTCAGCTAGGATAGATGAAGATTTTCCGATATTGGAAAAGTGAATCTTTGGCCCCTATACCTTTCTTATCCTCTCTACCACCCTTTTATCCATATCTCTTTCCCTGTTCCAAACACGATGCGATCCACGTCGTTGTCGTGACAGTGGCTGGKGGTTCTCTTTGATTACCTTGAGATTAACTTTGCCCGGTGCCGAAACTTCGTAATGACCTCTTCGTGATATGCTGACTCGAAGATCGGTTGGCATCGATAGAGTGCAACTAACTGCTGACTGATCGTAGGATACACTAGCGTAGTTCTTGTGCTCGAACAGGGAAGTCAATAGGACCGAGACAAAGCCGTCTGCGATCAATATTCTCCTCATTTCATCATGGTATCGATCTTCACCGTTTAAGGGTTCACCATCATGCCAAAGAAATTTCTCGTTGTCGTTGTTATTGTCGTTGTTTTTGTTTTTGTTGTTGTTGTTGTTGTTGTTGTTGTCGATGATGTCGCCCATACCATCCCCGTCGTTATTACTGTTGTTGTTTCCAGAGTTTACTTCGAAAAGTCGATCATCGTGTTCGTATAATTTGATCGATCCAAAGTATCGTTCGAACTCGTCTCTCGTCCAATCGCAGATCAAAGGTCGTTCCTCGATCTTATAACCAGTCGTTATACGAGTACCATCTGGAGAAAATATAAGTAAGTTTGTGAAGTAATATTATATATATATATATAGAATAAATTTTGTTGATTTCGTTCCGCGAAGTAGTTAAGTTGTTGAGAAAAATTGTTATAACTTTTGATAAATTTTGATTAGTTTGTTATGAAAATACGTGATATTCAAAATATAAAATAATTAATATGAATAAATCTCTTATAAATGTGTATTGAAATATAAATCAGAATAGATTTATTTATATTTATTCGATAGCAAAGATTTTCGGTGTTTTAATTTATTTATGATATAGTTTTGAAAGAAATCAAAAACAACAGAATAATAAATTAGAAATGAGAGTATTTTTTTTTTTATTCTTTTTTTTTTAGAGGAAAACTAGTACCAGGGAAATGGACGATCAATTTCCCATTGGAACGGAACAGCATGTCGGTGCCGTCGGAGCGTCGCGTGAAATTTTCGTCTACCTCGTAGTCCGAGTTCGCTCTGAACAGTAATCGATCGTATTCGCGCACAATCAGATCGCGTAGCACCTCGTACCTTCTACCATCATGATCCAGGACATTGTATCCCGTCACTTTGATCCTTCCATACTGCATTCCCGTTCGAGCGTCCGCCTGATTTTCATTTTCCAAAAATTCCAATAACTCTCAGAGCCGTAGAAAATGTTATTTTCGCGTTTGGATCTCGTTACTCCCGTTTTTAAGAAAGAAAGACAAAAAAAAATACGCGATAGAATAGTCCGTACTCTTGTAATTAAAACGAACCGAAAAATAATATCGAATGATAATAAATTTTTTCGATAATATCCCAACATTTTGTGAAATACATTTGATTACGAATAGAAACAAACAAAAAGTAATACTTTTACAGTTTACCGACCCTTTTCATATTTTGTAAATACTGTATATATCATTTATAAGAAACATATATAACACGTGTTAAAATATTATCTCTAGAAAATGAATTCTACGAAAATGATGAGAAAAAAGAAACAATTTGTCAAGAATAATTAGACTTTGATATTAATTTGGATTGAAAACCTTCGCATTGAAATGTTTCTAATCGTTGTTGTACTCCATCTGAAACGAAACTTAACCATCAGTTCGTCCGTCGTTGTCGATGACACTCGTTGAACATTCTCGTAATCTTTTTCAAACGATCCATGGATTTGGGTTTTGTTCAATGTTCTTTTCTTTCGTTTTGAATTTACCCCATTCTGTTTCCATTGCTTTATTCCACGATCTTACAAAAGAAAAAATATTTCGATAAATACGTATTCCCATCTAACGAGAAGTACTATACCTTCTTCCAAATTTGTTTCCTCTGTTATAGTATCCTCGAACGATATGCATTCGACTACAACCCCATTTGAACGCAATACAATAACGCTATTGTCATGAAGAAACTTCAAAACCGTACCATTCCTCAAATATTTTCGGTAAGCTTCTCGAGAAACATCTTTGGGTCCTTTAGAAATGTATGATTGACGAATGTAAAAAGGATTATCAGGACCATCTCCGGTAACCGGTAAAATTGTCAATCCTGATGGCCAAGATGCATGAAAATCAAATTCTAAATTTTCCCAATAGGAATCTTTCGGGGTTGTATCGGAAATTGAAAATATTTTATTTCTATCGAGATCTGAAAAAAAGTTATTGGAAAATTAATTTTTTAAAAGATCAATCAGCATTAATAACATTTCATAGACATTTAAAAGATATTATTTTCATATGTTTTATAAAATAATTACAAAATTACTTATAAATTTTATTAAAGTCTTTGTACCTATCATGTTTTTATATGACATGCATATTAATTATAAAGTTACATTTAGTAGAATATAAAAATAGAAGGGTAGATTACAAAATATTGAGACTAATTAAAAAGATTTTAATTTATTTCTTACATAGAAAGTAAATTGCTCGGAAAAAAATTATTCTTACGTTCAGCTCAATACTTTTTAACCTACACTTGTTATATAATAATATAATATAATAAGTATAAAAATGTTAGACACGTCTTACCAATTTGTTTGCAAAAAGCAAGGACGATTCCTTCGTTGGTGGTAAGATGAAAAATGTTAGAGTTTGTAGGATCTAAAGGTTTTTCGAATAAACGTAAGGTACAACCGGAAAGTGTAACGACAATACGTAAATCTACGTTCTCGTAAAGCCACGTCTCGAAATTCACTCGTACGAATGTACCGTCTTCCGAATAAAAGATCTTTCTTTTTTCGACGATCTGAACTCTCAAGTTGCCGAGGTCATAGCCTACGAACTCGTGAGGTTCATTCTCTTTGGCAAACTCCAACGATAGTATCTTTCTCTTAGGTAGAAAAGAAGTGTCGATTCCATTTGTTTCTTCTTTTCTGCCCTTAGACGAGATTTTTTCACTCAACGTTTTACTACCTCTTTGTTTTCCCCTACCTTTGGGAATTTTTTCCATGTCTTTTGTTTTTCTCCCAGACGTATCCGGCCTAGTTGTATTATTTTCTTTATAACTTGTTGTTTGTAATTTTTTATTCAAATCTCGTGCTTTCAAAGAATTCGGCAGGATAAAATGTTCGTCGTCGAAATATAAACGAAATAGATTATCATTTTTCGAAAATGTAATCGCATCTATCGATGATTTGCTAATCCCTTTAATCGATTCTAATCGATACTTTTCTTCTTCTCGGTTTATCCAATCAATTTCTTCTTTTTTTACGTATTTAATAAAATCACGTAAACAAACGGGCGTACGTAAATTCGATACGATTAATTTTTCTGATACGTCACCTACAACGTAATCGTTACTGAAATACAATAAAATAGAATCCGTCGGTTTGAAATATCTTTTTTCGAAATGTTCGAAATCTTGAAAACATTCGTAGGTTGTTTGAAGTAGAATCTTTTTTGGAAGTAACTCGACGTCATTGTATTCTTCGAGAGGTTCTCTCAGTCTATGCATTCTTCTACGTCGTTTCTCGAAGACATTCTTCTCCAAATAACTTGGTAGCAAGATTTCTCTCTTATCTGTCAGTCCAAAGAGATCTGGACAGTTTAAGAACGCAGCTACGGGTTTCCCATAATCGATGTCAGTGTCGCTTTTCGATAAAAATTTGGACTTCTTATTTTTATCATTTTTTTTTATAGAAGAAATAGAATCAGTTAAAATTTTACTATGAGAATGTAAACAAGAAATAACTGACAACATTTGATCCTTTTCGTCTGTTTTTTCGCCCGACGAATCGCCATAGATCATCTTGTCGAAGATCAGAAAATGCAAGTAATGACAAATGTTCTCTTGACAGATTTCAACACTGGGATCAAAGTAATTGATTAAGTTGTTTATATAACAATCGTATTCCCTCATTTTATTATCTGTTAATTTTTCATGATTCAACCAACAATCAATTATCCTTGGATCATGATAGATTTGTAAAAATGCATCAGCTAAGGTCATGCCATTGGATAATTTTAACATCCCTTTGATATTATCATCCAAAGTAATATGATGTGTATTTAAACTCAACTTATCACCGTTGAGAATCAATTCGATCGTTAAATCGTTGAACTTTTCTTCGACGACGTTTTTATTCGTGTTAACCTTGTACTTTTGGTTGAGAAGTTTCAGTCTTTTATTAACCCACGAATCCTCTTTCTCATCGATACTTTTAACTGATACTAATACTTCTTCTTCTTCTTCTTCTCCTTCTTCATCTTTTTCTTTTTCTTTCGCTTTCTAAAGATTCAAAACGTTATCGAAGGGAATCATGTTAAACGAATTCTATGTAGCGTGTAAAAAGTCGAGATAGATCGTAGATAGAAACGACTAGCTAACCTTTTCATAGATGTTCTCCTTTGCCGTAACGTTTTGCTCCTGTAAAGATCGATCTGTTAGAACGTTTAAGTTATCTTCGACCTGCAGTAAAAGAGCATGAAGTAGTATTGGCACGGTTACGCATTCCGTTGGTAATGCATCGAGAATTGCATGGTAGACGTTAGCCTTAACTTCTTTCATCTCGTCTATGTCGTAACGCTGGATTAACATGCTTCTTAAGTAATTGGAATGCTTTCGAAGTAGATCGTAAAGATCGTATACGATAAAGGATACTTTATCGTAAATATCTTTCTTCAGGGTTTCGTACTCAAGGTCATCTGATGTTTCAAACAAAATGGGAGGCTTTAACGTAAGAAACGCTACGTTAGAAAATACCTCAACGGTTTGCGAATTTTTTAAAATATTCTTCAACGAACTCCAGAATTTATATAGATCGACCTTGTCTACGGTGTAAATTTCAGGAAAACGTAACCTCATTCTATCGTATACTGTATCTCGATTTTCTTCCTTACGATAATGCAATGAAACGTGTTCCAATTTTTCACCAGGTCGTTTTATCTTGAGTATACAAGTAAGAGGCACGCCAATATTCATTAATTCAAGGGGTAAATCGGGATCGTGAAAGCCCGTTAAAATGACGTAGAGATTAGGTCCGTCATGTGGTGCATCGTCCACGTAAATTATGTCTCGCCATTCCTCCTCGCGAATTCTAAGTCGCGTATTAGCTTTTCCTTTCAACGATTGATCTCTGTTACTCTTTTTTTGAATACTTTTGGATGTACCTAAAGAATTATTAAACACATATTCATTTTTCATTGATATACAAATTGTTTTAATCGTAGTAATTTATAATTTGTACTTGGATCAAGAATGGTTTGCATGATGCGATATTCATCCTCGATAGCTCGTTTCAATTCCTGTTCCTTTTTGATTCTAAGCACAGCATCAACTTTAGCTTGATAAATCATATATTTAATAACACGTGCTAACAACCAAGTAGATTCAATATTAGCTTCTAGTAACTTGTTGGCGTGATGGCAAACTCGTTGTAATATTGGACACTTATCTGGATCCTGTCTAGACAAGGACCAAACATTAGCTAACATTTTTTGACGGTTAATGGTATAAATTGATTTTCGTTTTCCCTCATCCGCAGCTTCGTTAAACATCGATACGAATCGTGCATGATTACTCTTAGTCTCGATCATCATCGTTACGACACACCACCAATGATCATCGTTAATTGCTATCGATTCCAATGGTTCTTGCCACGCATTTTCGTCGTTTAATTTTTTACTTTTCACCGAAGTCACCGTTGTTTTGGCTGATCTTTTCTTCGACATGTTTTTTTTCCCCCTTTTATCGATTCTGATATTTATTAACCTTAGATTAAAATAAACAATTGAATATATTATAACATAAAGTAATAAAATTAACAGATATAATCGAGTAGGTTTATTTTTAATATCTTTTGTTTTTCGTTTAATATTATAATCGAGAGAATGTCATTTCTTTTTATTAATAAAGAAAAGAGTGTGTGTGTGTGTGTGTGTGTATTTGAAGACTTGACATTTTTATCAGCTGACCGACTTTTTCCCAATTTGATTCCCCACAGTTCGAAGCATTTACATAGTAGACTGCAATTACTTGCGTATCGATCGCAATGTATACATTTTTCAGAAACAAAACCTGTCGATTACCCATATATATATATATATATATATATATATATATATACATCATGTGGTCAGCACTAAAGCGATTACAGTATACATTTTTAATGCACTCCAACATTGCAGACGTATGATGTTTCGATAAAAAAAAAAAGAAAAAAAGACCGTGAGAGGCATTTTTCATAAGATCGCTTGATAAAAACGGATGCAATTTATCAATTCGCATTAATAGCTAATTAATTTACTTCTTTATTGTCATTTGAAAATGATTAGAATTTGCTTATAAATATTTTCTACGCCTCGCTAGTATTTGTCATCGATGAATAATTATTTTTCTTTTTTCTTTTTTTTTGTTCTTCTTCTTCTTCTTCTTCTTGTTAAATTTTAATCTAAGCGCGAATCAAAAGTTAAATAATAAAACAATTTGGTCAGTTAAATAATCGAGTATACACGCTGATTACCTATCAAAACATCTCGTGGCAAAGTACAAATCGTGCAAGTTAACGTAACGTAAAATAGAATCGCCCTAGGACCGAATGCAAATTGATCGCGAAACGCAATAGCGTAACATAAATTGCCACTGCGGCTATGCGTCGTCTGGTGGTAAACACGGCAGAAAGCAAACACGGCGGTTTAGATTGAATTAAACTTGCCGCGTTTGGATTCTCCCACGTGCAACGTGGTGCGCGCGAGTGGTGCTGGTGCCCCCGATAGAGAAGTTTCATCTAACGTGAAATAGAAAGAGAAAGAGAAATAGAAAAAAAAAAAGTAAATTGAATGTGGAACTTGACATAGTGGATTGTTGACGTTCACGAACTCAATTCGTGAAATGAAGTTCGTTAATTTGGACAAAAATCGGCCCTCTCAAAAATAATATCGACGTATATATATTTACATCGACGTTGATAAAATACAAAAAAAAAAGAAAAAACAGGTCACGTCAAATTGAAAATTGTCTTTTAAATCATCTTTCAGAAAATGAAATGTATCGAAGTAATGAAACGCAAGGAGGATTAACGTTGAAGCACGTTGAATGATGGCTGAGATTAAAAGCATATTAGAAGGAAGCTTTCTAGTACAGCATGAAACGGGATAAAGGAAAAGAACAGGAAAATAGAAGTACGACGCTGAGAGACAGAGACAGAAAAAGAGAAAGAGAGAGAAGAGACAGTAGCTAGGATGGATACAAGCCACCATATTATTTTGGAAGGTAACGTCATGCTGCTACAGCTTGACGTATTACAGCAATTTAAATTACGCGATATACGCGTGGACTGTATTGTGAGAGGAAGTGAAAACACCTTAAAGCGAGATACACGGTCTTGTCAAATAAATGCTCGTTCCCTGAAATTGCTCTACTACTTTGACAGAAGACCACGTCCTTTTCATATGGTCACTTAGGTGTATAAAAGTAGACAGGGATCCTGGAATAGAACGTGTATACGTTCGATCTTGATTCATCAAGTTACAAACTTAAAAGGTATTCTCTCTCATCGATTTAACCATCTCTATTATTATTTTTATCTCAATCTCTCTATCTCCCTTGTTCCTTCATTTTCTCTTTATTTATTTCTCGTATACTTCCTAACTTGGCAGAATTAAATTGCTATTTTAAGAATGGAACGACGTGTAATACTTTATGCATAATTTTTACGTCTACTTAATTTCTTTCATTAAAACATTTATCGTGCAATCGTTATCTAATGACATTATTATGTGTGATCGTTAGAAATATTATTGTTGATAATAATTAATTGTCATAGACATACGTAGCGATATTTTTGGAATCTAACGATATTTCGTATCTTGATCCACGCAATTGGGAAACGAAGTCGATCGTAGATTCGTAAAAATTTTCAAAAATGAAAAAGATAAAAAGAAAAAAAACCATAAAACAGAGAATTAAACTTATGAATTAAAAATCTCATTTGAAAAATCATGATTAAAGTCTTTGACAAATCTTATGTAATTTTTGCAGAATACCAATTAACCGTATTCCGCTTTTTATTCGACTTTCATTTAAAATCTCATAGGAAAATTACTTTTTCTTTTTGTCTTTTTTAATCAAAAAAAAAAAAAAAGAAAAAGAAGAATATTTAAAAATTGACTAATTTAACTGAAAGAAAAAAAAATGAGTTCTAGGTCGTAACAAATAAGTTATAATTTGTATAATACTATTGGAATTAAGATCTCGTTAAACTACATATAATCATGAATTTCTGTTGATACTAATAGCTGTGTAGTTTAAAGTTTAGATCAGTAGTGGAAGCGAGTCTTTCACTCGTGCGCAGTCATTCCCAACCAATTTGGCTACGCGTCGCTGGTCGAATTTAATTAATTTTGATAATATTGTGAAGTTTATTACGCGACGGGTAGATTGTAGGAAGTAGAAGGAACGATTCGCTAATTTGTCGAGCAGTTTTATACCAGGGAATACGTGGCCCGTCACTCGAACAAAAGAGAGATGGCTTTACTCTTGTGCGTTTCGTTCTAGCGTGCTGTTACACGCAAGACGAGTTTTAACTTTAATTAAATAATAATGTCTCTTTTTGAGCATACTGAAAAAGGACGTACTGTCTCTGGCCAACGGTTTTAAACGAAAAATATCATTTTTATGACGATGATAAAAATTCATTGAAAAACAGCGATTTTTTTCTTACCTACGTACGTATTCTATATGTTTACGTATATGTACGTACGAGATATAAAACTTAATATATGACAATTATATAATATATATACGTAGGTTCTCTAACGGGTCTTTGAAAGAGACGAATTCTCGAGAGATATCTTCATCTCTCGAAAAGAGAAAAATCAAAAAGGGGACAGATAGAGTAACGATAATGACATGCACATAAATCTCGTTCCCCGGTCCGGTACGGAACACAATTTTGACGGACGCGGAATTAACAACGCAGCAACCTCTCGTAATTCAAAGTTTCGACGGGGCGGAATTTAATTCCGTCGATTAAGGCATCTCTTCTGCCGACTTTCATGTGCATTTTTTCAATGCGCCCGCGCGTCCTGATAAAACGAACGTGCCGACGTGACCGATGCGAACGATTAACGACGAACAAAATCATTTTCCAGAGACGTGTCCACTCGTTCGAAAATAATTGCCAAAGTCTCCGCCATTAATCCATTTATCGTAGAAGCAAAATTCTTCGTTCAAAGTTGTCGTTAAATAGTCCTACCGCAGATTTTCTTTTAATCTTTCTTCATCATTTTTGTTATTTTCTTAAAAATAAATAATACTTTGTTCGAGAAGATGGACGACCATTCGTTAAGTTACCTTACATTCAAAGAACTATCGTCAGCAAAATCTTGGAGAAATCTCACGGAAAACTCGATTCCTTTTTCCTGTAGTTGTAACATCTGCGATTCCAATTGTCTATTTCACTCGTACTTTTGGTTTTCTCAGCATTCGAGAACGATATGCGAGAGAGCTGGGTAATAGGATTTCTCATCCGACCTTTTCTTTCAGATATTATGAATCATCGGCCATGAAATTCGAATAATTTGTCGATGAAACCATGAATAGTTCGAGTATACATTATCTCATCGTTTGAATAATCGTCTTTCTTTTTTGTTTACCATAAACACGAAAAGAATACGAAAGAGAGAAGAAAAAACAGAGACGCAAAGATGAAGAAAGAGAGAGAGAGAGAGAGAGAAAGAAGGGTAGAATTCAGTGATGACAAAGCTTTGAATAACGTCCTCCTTTTACTAATTTGATTTCATCATTGTCCAAAAGCAATTGCAGAGAGAAACTGTAATGAATCGCTGCCCGTTGTCCATTCTTCCTGTTTATTTCCCAACCCCTTAACCACCCTCGTCACCCTGTCTTTCTCTTTCTCTCCCCAAGGACAACTCGCCGCAATGGCCACAACAGCTGCTCTGACTCCTGCTGTTGTTCCTATCTAGGATTCCTATTTTGCGGTGGTCACACGGTCTGTCCGTGGTTTCAAACGGTAGTCTCGTGTTACGTTCTAAGATTTTCAAAAAGATCATATTCGACGAAAAAAAACAACAAAGAAAATACATTTACTTGTTAATCATACAAATTTTTTATATAACATTTACAAATATTATTTATCATTTGTCACGCGAATGATAAAAATAATGTTGTTTGACATATTTAAATCGTTTGGAAAAATACATTTTCTAGATAATTAGCTAAAATCATGATAGAAATAAACACGCGACATAAAGAATCATGTGTATTTAGTATTCTGGAAGTTAATGCTCGTTGGAAAAGTCGTAAAGTCCGTGCACGTGGACCGTTACAAGGAAGATCATGTCCACTATCTGAAAACGAAAGGAACTTCTTGGTGATAATTCTTGGCACGCTCGTTGAAATGTTCTCATTTTTATCTCTTTTTCGAATCGTTTCGACAAAATGTTTCGCGTAGCACGCTAAGACACGATTAAAGAAAGATTTAAATCGAATCCTTGGCACACTGCAAGGGGCAACTTAAGACGTTCTTGAATCGTTCCAAGAACATAAGGTACGAAGAAGTGATATACGATCGTGTTTTCCAATGCCTCATTCTTTCTCTCCCCTTTTATTCGAGTAATCCATTAATCCTACAGATTTCAAAACTTATTTCTAATTTTATTCTCTTTCCCCTGTCTTTTCTTTTTTTTGTGTGTGTTCCATTTAAAGCAAA